TTTGATTTGACAATTTCAAAAATCTAACTTTCATAGAAAAATTCGAAAAAATTAGAAAGTTATGACCAATTTTTGATTTTCAGCATTTTTTCTTGAAATATTAAATTGCTCCTAACTTTCTTATTTTTTCTCATTTTTTGTGAGAACCCAACTTTTTGAATTGCCCAAGTTAAGATCTTTAAAATGAGTATAAACAAGTCCACCATCTTCGAATTTCAAAGGGGTTTTCAAAATTTGACTTTAAAGGCGCATCGACTATTTTCGTCGAAAATCTTATTTTGATCATAACTCCCTTATTTTTGATATTTATCGCCTCAAACTATAATTTTTGAGTTTCTCAAGTTAAGAGCTTTAAAGTGAGTATTTCAAGGCGCATAAGAAGCCAAAATTCGAAAATTTTCAAACCTAGTCGTGTTTATACTCATTTTGAAGCTCTAGACAAGCCAAGTTTAAAACTGCAAGCTTCATTTGAAATGACCTAAAACTGATGAAGTTACAATTTTGTATGCTGGCTAGAGTGGCAGAGAAACCAGACACGCTGCGTCTCTAAAAATCCAGCCCTTGCTATGTTTATACTCATTTTGAAGTTTATAACTTGCTAATTTTGAAAACCTAGTTTCCATACAAATTGACCCAAAACTGGCAAAGTTACGGTAGTTTTTGTACTTTTTGAGACTTTTTTTGAAAATTTCAAAATATCGGAAATTTCAAATTTTCAAACCTAGCCATGTTTATACTCATTTTAAAGCTCGGAACCTGACAAATTCGAAAAATAAAGTTTCAAATCAAAATTCCAAAAACGTAGCTAGTTATCGGCAGAAAACATTCTAATGAAGCTCCGACGGTCACCCCTCATTGGCTCTCTATTTTTGCATAATTTTCCCCCATTTATTCGGTCCAATTTTACAGTCTTTTGGGCTTTTTTTCGGCTAAAAAATGTGGAAAAATTAGAATAAATTATTTAGAAATTAGCTGATTTAAAATATAGAGTTTTTCTGATTTTAATAAGAATTTTTTGGGATTTTTAAACATTTTTGGTTTTTACCATTTTTTGAATTTTTGAAAAAAACCAAAAACGTTCCGAAAAGGTTTCGGCGGAACTACAAAAATGGTCATATTTTTTTCCAAAGTTTTTGGTCGAAATTTTGGCCAAAATAAACACAATAAACAGTGAGATATTATATGGAATAATATTGACATAACACCAGCCATTTCCCTTTTCCCATGGAAAACTTTGGCCAAAATTTCGTCATTTTCAGCTTTTTGCTCTTTTTTTAGAAAATTTCAGTTTGTTTTCAAAAAGTTTCGAAAATTCGAAAATTCTAAAATTCGAAAATTCTAAAATTCTAAAATTCTAAAATTCTAAAATTCTAAAATTCTAAAATTCTAAAATTCTAAAATTCTAAAATTCTAAAATTCTAAAATTCTAAAATTCTAAAATTCTAAAATTCTAAAATTCTGAAATTCTAAAATTCTAAAATTCTAAAATTCTAAAATTCTAAAATTCTAAAATTCTAAAATTCTAAAATTCTAAAATTCTAAAATTCTTAAATTCTTAAATTCTTAAATTTCCGAAAATTCAAAAATTAAAAAAATTAAAAAATTCCAGAAAATTCTGAAATTCTAGAAAATTCAAAATTCCAGGAAATTCAGAAATTCAGAAATTTTGAAAGTTCCAGAGAATTCTAAAATTCTAAAATAATCAGATCGCATAAAATGATTTTCCACTCAACTAAACCGTTATTTCTCATTCTCTCTCTCTCTCTCTCTCTCTTTTTTTTTTCTCCTAAAAATGCATTCAACTGGAACTGAAACCCCCAATAAATTTACATAATCTCACCCGATTTTTGTATCCTTTTTTTTTGCAAAACGTTTGCCACTTTTTCTATACCTACAGTACTAAAAAAACTACTACTATTCTAGAAAAAACCGTTTTCTCTTCTTTTTTGCCAAAAAAAAAAGAAGAAGCCATTGAGAAATCAGTGAAAGCTATTTGAGAGAATCATGAAAAGGTAATTTTATGATTAATTTATGCAAAAAGGTCAGACAGACATTCTGAGAAAATAGGAAAGCGAAACAAGTGATTTTGGCTTTTTTGGCTTATTTTATAGAAATTCATAAATTCCAGGAAATTCAGAAATTCCAGGAAATTCAGAAATTCAGAAATTCAGAAATTCAGAAATTCCAGGAAATTCAGAAATTCAGAAATTCAGATATATCCAGAATTTCAGAAATTCAGAAATTGCGGAGTCTCAACATCCAAATTTCCAAATATCAGAATTTCAATATCAAACTCTCAGAACCACAAAATCCTAAATTCTGAATCTCTAAATCTAAAGAATCCCGAAATTCTAAGCTCCCAAATTCGCATTGGTCCTCAGAATCCCTAGAACTCTTAGAATCCTAAATCTCCGAATCTCTGAATCTCAAAACTTAAGAATCCAAAAAGCCTAAACGTCCAAATCCTCTAACATGTAATCTCAAGAACCCTAAGATTTCAGAATCCCAATATTCCTTCTCAGAATCCTTAGGATTCTTAGAATCCCAGTATCTCAAGTTGCTTGTGATTCTGAGCTTCGGTGATTTTGAATCTAAGAGCTTTGAAATCCAAATCAGAGAATCTCGAATTTTCAACTTTCAGAACGTTTCAAATCTCTAACCCCTTTAATTTCCATCCATTTCCTCCCATAAAAAGAACCAAATTCAATCCCATTTATTCATAATTTCGCACCTCTTCACATCTTCTCCTTCTTCTCAATTAGCTTCTTCTTCTTCTTCGAATCTTCTCCTGTATTACGCAAGAATCTATAATACACATCATCAAAAAACTGAGGATAACGACGCCCTTTTCATTCGACCGATTAGTGAAAGTGCGAAAAATGGTTGCAGATAGGAGAGAAAAGAAGAAGAAGAAGAGAATGGCATATGCTTAAACTTACTGAACAATATGAAGAAGGTGTTCTTCTTCTTTTCTAGATTGTAATATATATGATATATAGCTTATTATCAGTGATTCTATACACTTTATCAATCGGTTTCAAGATTCTCAGAATGTGTTTTGAAATGCAAATTTTCAATAGCTACCATAGTTTTTGAGATGTGCGCTTTTAAAAATTGCACGCAGGCATGGCAGCCGGTGAAAGTTACACCACCTTTAAAGACGCATAACTTGAAAACTACTGTAGTTATCAAGAAGTTGTTAACTGGTAAAATGTTTATCATAGTTTCACCAACATTTTGATAGTTTACCACTTTTTGACTCTCTGACAGCATCCAAGATAAATCGGCTCAAAGTTATAGCACCATCCCCCCTCCCCTTCACTCATAGAACCTCGTGCCGGCGGCGCCACCGCTATGCTTGTACTTTGAGCTCATATATCTCAGTTCTTGTAGAAGGAATCAAAAAGTAGTCAATGAACAAAACGGTTATCATAATATCAGTAACAATTTGTCAGTTGAGCACTTTTTGATATCTTCAACAAGTATCGAGATATAAGATCAAAATTGATGGTTTGAAAAATGTCGATTTCATGGTTCTGTGGTTTTCTGTGTATCGAACCTTTTTGATGCTTTGAATCTAGTACCAAATAATAAACTTTATATTGTAAAAATACTATGAATTTGTTTAACATTAGCCTAAAATGCTTAAATTCTGCCTAATTCAGTCTGGATTCCGCCGGAAGTAGTCCAAACTTGCAGTCCTTCCCCTTTCTCTTGGTTAGCCGGCGTTGCCTGTACTTTGAGCTCAATTATCTCAATTCCTGTAAGAGATATCAAAAAAAAAATTAACTAATAAAATACGTATCATAACATCAGTAATTTTTCATCAGTTAAACACTTTTTGATATCTTCTAAAATGACCGAGATAGTTAAGCTCAAAGTTCAAAGATCGGCTGCCATGTAGCTTCCCATTTTGATTGTTGACTTTAAATGCGCATGGCAGTCCGAAATTGGAAAATTAAGGAAAGTTGGGCCTGGCTATATTTATTTGAAGGTTCCAAACGTCACTAGAAACACTTCCACTGCTCTTCTGAATTTCAAAATTGGCGCCAAAATCAAAATTTCGAAAATTTTGGAGCTCTATCAAATTAAAGTGTTGTATTAAAGCTACAGTAACTTGGCCAGTTTTGTCCCAAATTTTAAAAAATGTAGATTTCTAAATTCTCCGTATATAGAGCTTCAAAATAAGTATAAAAAAGACTAGATTTCGAATTTCTTCAAAATTTTAACAAATTCATTGCCCCTTACCTTAAGGGTCGCACCTTTGTCAATTCTGATCAGATTTCACTGAAATAAAGATTTCTGAAATTAGCAAGTCAAGAGCTTCAAAATGAGTATAAGCATGACTAGGCTCGTTGAGGGGTTAGAGAAGCAGTGTGTCTGGTTTCTCTGAAACTCTAGCCTCTGGACAAAACTGGCTGTAACTCCGTCAGTTTTAGTTCCATTTTGATGGCATTTGTAGTTTTGAACTCGGCGTGGTTAGTGCTTCAAAATGAGTATAAACATGACCTACTTTTGAGAATTTCAGAATTTCGGGCCACTCATGCGCCTTTAAGTCAAAATTCGAGTTTAAAGGAACAGAGCCATGAGTATACTCATTTTGAAGCTCATAACATGGAAAGTCGAAAATCGGCGTTTAACTATAGAACATTTTAATTTAAAAGAGTTATGGTGTATATTTTGAAAATTCAAAAATTCCGAAATTTGGTTTAAATTAAGCTTGAAAAACCTCAAAAGCTGTAATTATTGGGTGTGTCAAAATTTTTATTAAATGGAATTTGAATAAAAAAGGAAACACCTGTTCATATTACACATCATCAAGTGTAATCTGACACCTCCCCTCCTCATAAAAAGATAAATGACATGCTACTACAGTACTCCACCCCCTATATATAGTTGACACTCATATTTGCACACCTGCTAGGTACCCCATAAATTTTCTGCTTCTCTAGCCACCCTCCTCTTCTTTTTTACTCTCTCATTATATCTATTTGCAGCCTATGATAGAGCAGAGATGGCCAACAACCAGAAATAGCTCATCACATCATCATCCACATCATCTGAATTCGCCGCACGTCTTCACGAATTTTCATCCATCGTATAGAAGTCACTCAATTGACGCTATTGTGAATCGGTAAAATTTTTGGTGCTTTTGAAAAATTAAGTTTGAAGAATTTGAGTCAAAATGATCCGATTTATGGTTAAAAATGTGTTTTCAATAGTTTGAAAGTACCGTAACCTTGTCAGTTTTCCTCGGATTTCAATGAAAACTAGATTTTTGGAATTAGAAAGCCAGAAGCTTCAAAATGAGTATAATCATGACCATGTTAAAAAAAGGTCAGAGACGCAGTGTGTCTGGTTTCTCTTGCGCTCTAGCCTTTTCACATAATCGGTTTTACCGTTATCAGTTTCAGGCCGATTTGCATGAAAACGTCATATTCGAAACAGGCTTGTTCAGAGCTTTAAAATGAGTATAATCATGCCTATCTTATAAGAATTTTCAAAATTTGACTTTAAAGGCGCATAGGGGTCAAAAATCAAAATTTTCGAAAGCAGGTCATGTTTATACTCATTTTGAAGCTCTAGACAAGCCAAGTTCAGAACTAAGAGTTTCATCCAAATCCAACTAAAACTGACGGAGTTAAATCCAGTTTTGTATGAAGGCTAGAAAGCCAGAGAAAGCCAGAGAACACTGCGTCTCTACTCTCCAAACTCAAAGTGGGCGGAGCCTAGTCAAGTTTATACTCATTTTGAAGCTCTCTACTCCGTAATCCCAGAAATCTAATCTTCATTTGAATCCGATGAAAGTTGACAAAGTTACAATAAATTTTTAAATTTTCGGAAAAAAAATAGGAATTTCAAAATTTTTCAAACCTAGCCTTGTTTATACTCATTCGAACCGTTAAAATCTGACAAACTCAAAAATCAAGGTTTCACTGAATTTTTTGAAAATAAGGAAAAGTTGTGACCCTTTAAAATTTCCAGAAGCTCCTCCGCCTACTTCCAACACCCCAATCACCGCCCATCCTATCCGTCTCGAAACCATCCGGACTATCCGATTTGTGGTGTTTCCCCGGCAAGACATTTGTCTTATAATCATTTTTACAAGTGAGTTTTTTAATCTAAAATTTATAATCAAAAGAATTCCTTAAAAAAAATTGAAATAAATCTGAAAAACCTCAATTTTCGTGTATTTTTGTAGCTCAAAAAACCCAGTCAAAATTATCTAATTTCGATGAAATTCTTAGAGTAGATGAAGCAAAAATCGAGCTTCAATTTTGTAGTTGACAATTTTTTGCTAGCTACCGTAGTTTTGGAGATATGCGCCTTTAAAGAATGCTCGCACAAATAGCAGCTTCCGACGTACCCCATCTTCAATAGCACATATCTCAAAAACTATAGTAGCTAGAAAAAGTTGAATTATATTATACAAAAATGTGTAAAATGAAATTTTTCATTATTTTTCACTACTAACAACATTTTTGTAGCTACAGTAGTTTTCTAGCTGTGCTCCTTTAAAGATAGCGTGCCCTTGTCCCCCTCCTCGTAGGTTGTTCAAGGTCGTAGGCTCAAGGTGTGAGCGCGCGCATTACCTTTAAAGGCACATAACTCAAAAACTACAGTATTTAGCAAAGAGTTGTCAATTGTCGGAATAAGAAAAATAAAAATCTACACATTTTTGTAATTATCAACTTTTTTGTAGTTACTGTAGTTTTCGAGTTATGCGCCTTTAAATCGGCGCGCGCTTCAGCACAGCGTCCCTCTCTCTTTCTGGGTGCCCTAACTTTAAAGGCGCATACCTCTAAAACTACAGTAGCTAGAAAACATTTGTCAACTACAAAAATGAAGTTCTACTTTTGTTCAGTATAACCTGAAAATATCGAAAAAATTAAAAACGTTTAACCCAGTTTTGTAAGCATTCGAAGTTTTGCAAATTTTAAAATTTCAAAAAGCCACATCTCGCTTCAAATTCCACCGAATTTCATGATTTTTACATTAATTTGAAGGAAATTTTTGCATTTTCCAAAAGATAATTTTTAAAATAATCTAGAAAACTCAATTTTCCTAAATTCTACGACCTCAAAAATATATTTTCAGCCAATCCTCTGCTGAAATCGAAGAAATGCTGCGTACACGTCAATTTCCAGAGGTAATTCGTTGTGTTTTTGTGCATTATAATATAACTGGGTGCTATGAACGCTATAAAAAGTCTATAAAAATAACCAGTTACTTTTTTCGCCCTCCTTTTTTCTCTCCTCATTGTTTTCTGCCTCAATCCAAGTGGGTCAATTCTCTCTTATTGCCTTGCCTGTTGTTGTTTTGCATAAAAACGGCTTCTTAGTTAGAAAATAATAGAGAAGAAGAATAGAAGCCAGTTACCTACTTTTCACACCTTCAAGGTTTTACTTCTTCTCCTTCTCGAACTTGTTCCGGGTAGCTGAACTTAACTACTGTAGACCCCCCCCCCCCCCTCTGATCCGTTTAAAGGCGCATTACTCGCTTTATTTTCGAGCAGATTGAATGAAATTGTAATTTTTGAACTCTTTAAAATTTGATGGTTCGAATGAGTATAAACATGACTAGGTTTGAAGATGTTTGAAAATTTGAACATTTGAAAAATTTTCTCAAATTTTAATTGGAAACTTTCAAAAAGTACTGTAACTATGTCGGTTTTCATCGGATTCTGATGAAAACTAGTTTTTCGAATTTTGCTTGCTAAGAGCTTCAAAATGAGTATAAACATGGCTATATTCCTACAGTTTTGAAAATAGGGTCAGCGACGCAGTGTGTCTGGTTTCTCTGGTACTCTAGCCACTATACAAAATTGGTTGTAACTCCATCAATTTTTGGTGGATCTCAATAAAATTTGTAGTTGTGAACCTGCCTTTTCCAGAGCTTTAAAATGAGTATAAACATGCCTAACTTTGGCTGGTTCGTAAATTTGACTTTAAAGGCGCATAGAGGGTCAAAAATCGAAATTTTTACGAAATAGGTCATGATTATACTCATTTTGAAGCTCTCAGCGCCCAAATTTTGAAAATCTAGTTTTTATTGAAATCCATCTAGAACTTATAGAGTTACAGATCTTTTTGTACTTTTCCATCCAAAATCCCCAAACCTAACTATGTTTATACTCATTTTGAAGCTGTTTTCCTTTTCATTCTAACAATTAAATTTTTATTAAAATCGCCTAAAAACTGACAAAGTTACAGCCAAAGTGCCAGAGAAACCAGACAGGCTGCGTCTCTATCCCCCAAACTCAAAGTGGGCGGAGCCTAGTCATGATTATACTCATTTTGAAGCTCTAAACCTGAAAAATCCGAATTCTCCGGTTATTTTGATTAATCTTCTCCTGTTTTCAAGATTTTGGGGATTTCAAAAAAGTGTATTCTCTCAAGTACGCCCAATTTTTTGAAGTATGTGTGATATTTCTTCTTTTCCTACAGAAAAAGTTGCTTCAGACATTTTTTGTTGCTGTCTGTAGCTAAAACTTGTTTCTTACATCACTTATTCACACTTCTTTATGAATAAAAGGCAGACGAGAGAGTGTTGGAGATGAAGAGACGCAGAGAAAATAGGGAAAGAACAATGTTTTTGGAGGAAAAAGCAGACGTTTTTTTTGTGGTGTTTGTACAAGAAGTCGCTTTTTTGTACAGTTTTTAAAAACTTTTTTCGTTAATTGTATTTTTTATATAAAAAACGAAAATTGAATTAAAAAATATTTGAATTGAAAAAGGCAAAATTTGGAGGGTTTTTTCGATTTTCGAAATTTTTAGAAAGTTAGTTTTTGAAATTTTGAAAATCTAAAATTTTAGAATTTTTAAAACTTTCAGCATTTTCTCAATTTTTTGAAAATGAACATTTTCCGATTTTTGAACATTTTCCGATTTTACAGTTTTCTGGATTTTTTGGGATTTTCAGATTTTGTGAAGAAATTCAGAAAATCCAGGAAATACTAAAATTCTAAAATTCTAAAATTCTAAAATTCTAAAATTCAGAAATTCAGAAAATCCAGGAAATACTAAAATTCTAAAATTCTAAAATTCTAAAATTCAGAAATTCAGAAATTCAGAAATTCAGAAATTCAGAAATTCAGAAATTCAGAAATTCAGAAATTCAGAAATTCAGAAATTCAGAAATTCAGAAATTCAGAAATTCAGAAATTCAGAAATTCAGAAATTCAGAAATTCAGAAATTCAGAAATTCAGAAATTCAGAAATTCAGAAATTCAGAAATTCAGAAATTCAGAAATTCAGAAATTCAGAAATTCAGAAATTCAGAAATTCAGAAATTCAGAAATTCAGAAATTCAGAAATTCAGAAATTCAGAAATTCAGAAATTCAGAAATTCAGAAATTCAGAAATTCAGAAATTCAAAGAATTCTAAAATTCAAAGAATTCTAAAATTCTAAAAAATTTTTTTAAGAATTCTAAAATTCTAAAATTCTAAAATTCTGAAATTCAAAAACTTTCAGAATAAAATATTCCAAATATCCTAAAAAAATCCTTAAAACTCCAAATTTCAAGATTACTGTACTTTTCGAGATCCTCTGCGTTTCTCCTATCTTCCTGGATGCTTTCTTATCTCTCTCTCATCATCTCTCTAATTCCATCCTAATTTCTTGGAACCGAAAATGATCATTATCTCGTTTTTTGTGTCTTTTTTCCTCCAAAAACAACAACTTTCCTATTTTTCCTCAATTCTTTCTTTTTCTGTTAAACAGATTCTTGCAATTTGAAGTGTTCTAGGCTACTGTAGCTCAATTTCAAGGCACATAACGGTCCAAATATTATTGAAAAGTAGGACATAATTATATCCATTTTGAAGCTCTCAAATTGGCAAATTTACCACAAAAAACTTCATCCAAATCGCTTGTAAACTGACAAAGTTACAGCTGTTTTTGTAAAAAGGCTATAGTGCCAGAGAAGCCAGACACACTGCGTCTTTATCCTCCAAACTCAAAGTGGGCGGAGCCTAGTCATGATTATACTCATTTTGACGCTCATGACGCTATTATTCCAAAAACATAGCTTTCATCAAAATTTAATGAAAACTGACAAATTTACAGTATTTTTGTTTTTTCCTTTAAAATTTGAAAATTTCAAAAATTTTCAAGCCATGTTTATACCCATTTTATAGCTCTTAAAACGCTGATTTCAAAAATCTAGGTTTCATTTGAATCTGATGAGAATTGACAAAGTTACAGTACTTTTTGTATTTTTTTTTCTTAAAATTTTGAACTTTTCAAATTTCCCGCCAAGAAACACTCACCACGATTGAAAACTGTATCTATTGTTGTTGATTAATGTCGAATTGCCGTCCATTTCTTTTTTAGGACGCAGAATTGCGGTAACGTCCGGATGATCATCGTCTACAGTAATCGTGGCTGGAAATTTCAGAATTTTAGGATTTTAAGGATTTTAGAATTTCTGAATTTCTGAATTTCTGAATTTCTGAATTTCTAAATTTCTAAATTTCTGAATTTCTGAATTTCTGAATTTCTGAATTTCTGAATTTCTGAATTTCTGAATTTTTGAATTTCTGAATTTCTGAATTTCTGAATTTCTGAATTTCTGAATTTCTGAATTTCTGAATTTCTGAATTTCTGAATTTCTGAATTTCTCAAATTTTGAATTTCTGAATTTCTGAATTTTTGAATTTCTGAATTTCTGAATTTCTGAATTTCTGAATTTCTGAATTTCTGAATTTCTGAATTTCTTGGATTTTTCGAATTTCTAGAATTTCTGAATTTCTGAATTTCTGAATTTCTGAATTTCTGAATTTCTGAATTTTTGAATTTCTGAATTTCTGAATTTCTGAATTTCTGAATTTCTGAATTTCTGAATTTCTGAATTTCTGAATTTCTGAATTTCAATTAAATTTTTATTAAAATCGCCTAAAAACTGACAAAGTTACAGCCAAAGTGCCAGAGAAACCAGACAGGCTGCGTCTCTATCCCCCAAACTCAAAGTGGGCGGAGCCTAGTCATGTTTATACTCATTTTGAAGCTCTTGACTTCTTGATTCCAAACATTTTGTTTTCAACAATATCCGATTGACACTGACAAAGTTACGGTACTTTTCATGATTTTTCGAAAAATTCAGTAAATATCAAATCTAGTCATGTTTATACTCATCTTGAAGCTCTCATCTTCTTGATTTCAAAAATCCTGTTTCCATCGCAATCCTACAAAAACTGTCAAAGTTACGGTACTTTTTATGTCATAGGCTCCAGAGACGCAGTGTGTCTGGCTTCTCTGACTCTCTAGCCTCCCAAATTTCTCCTCTTTTTTCTCTTTCTCCACCCCCGACAAGATTTTCAAGTGGACCGGCGGAGAGAGGGATAAACATATAAAACGGGCGGTCTCTGGTACTAATCCATCCGTGGCAGAAATGAGAAGAAATAAGAATTGAAAAGAATAATCGGAGGAAGAGGGGATGGAGGAAAATGGGTGGAACAGAAACATATCTATTTATTTTATAAATCTCTTTGGCATTTACAAGGCTTTTTGAATTCATAATTTTTTAATGAAAAGTTTAGCTTTTGTAGTTTTTTGAGATACTTATGCGTCTTTGAGCTTGGCGTGCGCTTCAGAGGGTGCCTCAACTTTAAAACCCGCATATCTCCAAAAGTAAAAAAGATACTCAAAATTTATTAACTATCGAAATGTGTGAAATTTTAAGTTGTTTATTTTTGTAGTCAACAAAATTCAAACAGCTTTTTTTTAATTTTTGAGATATGCGCCTTCAAAGTTGGCGCATCCTCACTCCTCTCCCTATCGGGGTGCCTCAACTTTAAAGGCGCACATCTCGAAAACCAAAAACGCAATAAAAAATTTGTCAATTGACAAAATGTGTGAAATGTTATACTCTACATTTTTGTTGTTGACAAAATTTTGATATCGTTTGTGTTTTTTGAGATATGTTGCTTTAAAGTTGCCGATGCTTCACCGCCTGGCGAAGTAGGGAATGGGGGAGGTTCCCCAGCTTTAAAGCCGCATATCTCAAAAACCAAAAAAGCAATAAAAAACTGTAACTTGTAAATTGTGTAAAATTTTATGTTCTAGGTTTTTGTAGTTTGTAGTTTATCTCTAGAAATTTCCGCTGTTGAAATATAGCGTTTTATAAAGTTGTTCCTCTCTGAAAAGTTGTGAAAATTGTGTCATGTGGTTTTCTTCAGATTTTTGTGCTAGATAAAAAAAAGAATTTTTGAAAAAAGTGAGGAAACTGGTTCTAAGACTACTGTAGAATTTCAAATTTTTTTAAAAAATTTTCTAAAATTTGGAAAATTGCAGTCTTCCAAGTAGGCCTCCCGTTCTGGGTGGCCCAACTTTAAAGGCGCATATCTCGAAAACCGTGAGAGTTATCAAAATTTTGTCAATCACAAAATTTTTCAAAATAACATTTTACATATTTAGTTAGTTGACGCATT